AGCACCGCCATCAGCAGTGCAGAGCAGGAAACACCCAACGCCAACACACACAAACACACACACCCAACACAAGCAAAAACACACCCAACACAAGCAAAAACCCAAACACACACAAGCATGTGAGGCGTAGGCACGAAACATAGCGAGTTCTGTGCCTATCTAGACCTGTGAGGCTGACGGAGATTGGGTCTTCGCTGGAGGACGTGGCCGATGCATCGCGCATAACCGACGGGCGAATGCATCCGGGCGGGCAGATGATGCTCGTCAGCAGCAGCGACTCCGGCCGCGCGCCAAGGTCCAATATGAGGCAGTCGCTGTCGGGGATGTTGCGAAAGAGCTCGAGCACGCGGAGGGGGTTGAGGACATCCTGTGCGCGATCCTGGCGCAGCAGCGAACGCAGACCGTCCACCTCCTCAGCCGCGGCGGCCAGCTCATCGTGCAGCCGTGTCTGGTGGTGGTGGTGGTGGTGGTGATGATGATGAGTCGTGAGTGATGGTGATGATGGTGATGATGGTGGTGGGTGGTGGGTGGTTGATAAGCATGAGGAAGTGGGGCAGAGCACTGTGTAGCACACTCGCACGACAAGCACCGAGCCGCATGTACAGGGAGCTCATGCAAAAAATAGCTACAGGCAGCAACACCGGCAGATTCAACATGGGTGGGACGATCGCGTTCTGCCTCGTGCTTCTTGACATAGAGCTCGTGTACAATCTTCATGGGCGGGACCTTCTTGACAGTCGCGTTTTGTGCGCCGCAGTGGGGGCAGCGCAGCGTCTTCTTGCACAGGTCGCCCGCCTACGATGATGGTTGTGGTGGTGGTGGTGGTGGCGGTGATGGTGATGATGGTGGTGGTGGTGGTGGATATGGTTTGAATGAATTGGGATGCCACATAGAGGAGGAGGGGAGGTCAGTGGAGAGGAGAAAGGGAGAGCAGTGCAAAAAGAGTGCAAAGGTGCACGCTTTCATACATTCTCAGACTGCGCGTGTAAGCTGCAGTGTACCTCTTTGATGATGGCCTGGCGCTGGTTTGACTCGAGGTGAGGGGCAAGCAAGCGGTCCGTGTAGGTGAAGAGCAGGTCATCCGTCATCAGCACGCGGCTGCACGTCTGCGTCGCAATGCAAGTGGCGCAGGAAGGAGGGCGGATGTGGCAGATGATGACGGCGAGAGTGATGAGAATGCGGTAATTGCGGTTGTCGTAAATGCGCAAGCACAGGTGCAAACTTACGCACACACACACATACACTCACACACACATACACATACACTCACACACACACACACACAAACACACACACACACAAGCACGAGCAAGCACGCTCCCACGCGTACAACGTGCACACCTTGCAAATGCGCTGCAAGACGTTGACGGTGGCCTTGAAGTAGCCAATGT